GGAAGCATCAGGCAGAGAGAAAGATGGAAGGGAAGAAAAAGGGTGTTGTGCGGCGGACAGTGGGCAGTGGGTAGTGGGCAGCGGACAGCGGGGGTGGAATGGGCGAAGGGTGCGGCCCAGGTGCAAGGTGCAAGGTGCCGCGCGAATGAAACGGGCGTGGCCGGGGTGGGAGATGCCAGCTGTGAGCAGCTGTAGACAGTCTACTCTGTGCGCACTGTGACTCAACACCTCGCCGTCGGACGGTCATACAGTGCCCGTCGACACCGTCGTCACGCCTGCACTGTAGCTTGGTCTCAGTGTCCCGCAGGCTAACCCCGCCTCGGAAAGGTGGCAGAAGTCTCTTGTCTCTGAGCTTCTCGTGGTGAGACACCTACAGCGCGACCACCCAGACTGTCGGGGTCCCTTAGGTGGTGCCCTAGGTGCCCTGGGCTTGGGGCCCTGGGCCCCTAGAACCCAGAGGTGGGTTCCTGGGTGCAGAGCTACGTACATGTAGCTCCCTGGCTCCTGTCACGTCAAGCGCGCATGCCCTCCCGCCCTCGCCGGCCGCTTGACGTGCTGATCGCGGGCTTCAGGTCTTCATCAGATACACACTGACCTCCACCTCCACGACGTGCGCAAATAGCAAACAGGCCAAAGCTCGACCTGCCATGTGCTATTTACAATCGCCAGCAGCAGGCTCCGACAGTACCAGCAGGCTCTGACAGTACCAGCAGGCTCCGACACTGACAAGGACAGTCTATTCGCCATGTCGAACGCACAGGCAAGCAACCAGGCAGGCTCCCAGAGTGTGGGCAGCCAAGCAGCCAACGATGACTTCCTCAAACACCAGACAACAGCACTATCACGACACCCCCATTCCCATCGCCGGGGTACACATTGAGATGCGCCACCGTGTTCACTCCCTCACCCATGCCCTGTCTGCCCTGCTCTGCCCTGTCTGCCCTGTCCTGTACCTGCACAACATCAGGCACGTCGGGGACGACCGCAGCAACAGCCTTGGACGACCGCAGTAGCCATCCTCTTCATCGGTCTCGTCTGAACACAATCCAACTGTCCGTCGATCCGTCATCATTGGTGTCACCTCTCATTGGGCTCACTCTCTGACATCAGTCTTCCATCTCTGCTTCCATGTCTCTCTCATTGGGTGTTGTCTCCCTCATTGGGTGTCTACATCGGAACCGGAACCGGCACAGGGTCAGCATGCAGGCACACACGGCTTGTCTGCTCGGCTGTGTCCAACGGGTCGTTCTCATCCTTTCCCGGCAATCCTCCAGATCGTAAGGCTGACGATACTGAGGGTGTCATGGCTGCGACGTGTGATTGGGCCGGGTAGAGACGCAGACCTGACGGTCAGCCTGCCATCGGGCGGCAACGAGGACTGATACGAAGCACACCAAGACTGTCCAGGGGGGGGAAGACAGAGAGAAAGAAGGAAGGAAGAAAAGGTATGACGAGGTTCCAGCACTGGTTCACTGATGATGGAACCAGGCAATGGGCGCGAACACCCAGTGATACAATATTGACGACAGAACTTGATGCCATTCTTGTCAGCCTGCATGTGACACAATGGTGGGAAGGCTTCAAGTGCCCACCCAAACAGAAGACGCAGCTTGCATCTACCAGCCCACAACCCTTGCTGCGAGGTGCGTGTGTTCTCGCGGAAAGGACCGATTTGCCCGCACCCCCAGAAACTATAATCTTCACTTCAGTCTCATGTCGGTTCCCCCCACACACCACAAGGCGACAACGTCCCGTCCTTTCACACCGAAGACGCAACAAGACAGCGTTTTAAGCGCCGCGGCAACGACGCTAAAAGCGTCTGCCGTGGGGCAGTGCCCGGGACAAGCACGAGGAACGTCGACCGTCAGACACCGTGCCTGCAGCTTGATGATGAACTAGATCATCCGCACCACCACCACCAGCAACAGCTTGCCCTGGCAGGGGAGCCTCCCGCGCCTGTCGACCGGTCAGAACCATGTCGTTCCTCCGTTGCGTACAAGCTCGTCATTGGTGCAGAGAACCTTACCCGGTTGAACCAGATAGATTCACAGATGCGCTGCGTCGTCCGCTGGGCCCGCCCGGCCGCTCGCTAGGTCCGTCCGTTCCCTGCCCCCCCGGCACTTGTGAGCCAAAAATAGTTCTAAAAATACATCCCGCCGCATCCACACCAAGAAGCAAGCAACTGCACTCCCCGCCCACGCGACGCTTCCCGCATCGCACCAATTGGCCTTTTACCTCGGACCCCTCTCGCGTGGGTAAAAGATCCAAGCGAAGCCAAGCGACCTGCCTGACCTGCCGGACTGACATCAACACCACCAGTGCAACTGCAACCTTGTCTGCTGGATAAGATCATGTGCCTCGGGCTGGAGACGCGCCCGCGTGGTGCGCATGAGAACCTTCATCTCATCGCTGCTCCTGATTGTTCGAGAAGAAGCATGCATATCAACTCTGATCCAAAACCTCTAGGCCTGGAGTACCCTCCCCCCTCCCAGGAACCAACTCAGCTCGTCGAGAATCGTCATTTTGACAAGAACACATCGAATCGCTGCTGACAGGCATCTGATTCAGACTTGATAGGGTCACTGACAGCCGCCCAGACCAGCTCGCGCGAAACTCCCACTCCACTCGCTCCCCCTCGACAACCCCGGCTCGCGTCGGCCCTTGTGTCTAAGATGAGGTAGCCAGAGGACCCCGACCTGCACCCCCATGTTCGCCGTTCCTCTATCATTCCAGTCAGTCCCTTCAATCCCCACTGCCCCGTCTCCTCCCGCGACGTCTGACCTCCAAACATGGCCCCGCACCCCTCTGCCTGTTTGTTGACTTTTAATCCCATCGTTGCAACTTCATCAGACGTCAACGCTCAGTCGCAAGGTGGGGCGAGGCGTGTAGATATATGCCCTTCTTTTCTTCTCTTCCTCTCTGCTGCTGCAAATTATGAACAAGCCCATGGTGCCAATCGGCGCAAGGCGCGGTATGCTAAACATAAACAAACCCCCCCCCATCCAGCCAAGGTGGGGTGAGAAGCGTTGAGGCCGTATCAACGACAACCATCCAGTTGCCTGCTCCCCTTCGCCTCACCCCTTTTCTGGCCCCGAAACGCCGTTGCACGCTCGCTCGCTCACTCGGTGTCGCCCCAGCCAGGCTCTGATCAAGGGCCTCTTCTTTCTTCAGCTGAGGACCGAACTCCACCCCCATCCCCGTTCTCGCAATGCTGCTGGTCCTAATCCCGCTGAATCCAAATCCAGTATGCTCAGCGAACCTGTCCCGGTTCCTTCGTATCTTTACAATATGCGCGCCAGGCCAAATCTCGTCGTTCATTCGCCGCTCAGGGCGAGCCGGCGTTCGTCGTCGGTCCGGTGAAAGCCCCGAAGCCACCGTGCTCTGCCATGCTGTTCTCGGGCTTCATCGTGCCGTTAAGCATGGGGCACAACCTTGAAAAAAAAAATGACTGTTAGCATTCGTCCTTGCTTTGGATAGCACGGCCATGTCATCTGAAATGGTAAATGTCAAGCGGCATGTCAGTCTCCGAAGCCCGCTGGGGCTGAGACGAGGTCGCGTCAGATAGAACGAATCTGATCACCCAAGCGGGCTGACAGGCCCTCATATGTTGGTCCTTGCTGTATGCTTAATGCTTGTTTCTGTGTTTGTGCCTCTTGCTCGACGCAGGCTCCATCGGGGGTTCCGATGGTCGTTGGCGCTTGGGCTGCCGGTCAAGAGTCATGGTGTTCTTGAGCCCGCCCACTTTTGACGGTGGCTTTGACTTCGTCCGAGCCAAGCCCGGGGCAGGCGGGGCAGGTTTTGCCGGCTTCTGCGATGCGAGCTTGAGCCGCGCAGTGGCTGCGGCGACCGCCTGTTTCGCTTCTTCCAGACGTTTCGCGTTGGCCGCCGCTCGAGTGGCCACGGTTTGTCTTTTCATCTTGTCGAGGGAGCGCTGCAGGACCTTGCACGGAAACTTGAAGGGCTTCGTGTTCCAGGGAGGAGGCAGGTCTTCACGCGCAGAGGGCTTGCGCGACCTGTTTTTCACCGAACGAAACTCGACAACGGGATCGGCCCTTGGCCATGGGGTAAGGGGGCGAGGAGGGGGAAGGGGAGGGGGAGGGGGAGGGGGAGGAGAGGGGACATGGTGGGTAAAAGAAGAGGGGGTCGTACTTCTTGTTGGTCTTGATGTGGCCGACCTGGCCACAGTTGTTGCACTTTCGGCTCGTTCCTGTCGCGACCTTGTCGGGCTCGGGTGATCCACCGTCGCCGCCGTTGCCCGACTTGGGGTGGTGAATGCCCTTTTGTGACTCTCTAGCCTTTCTTCGGGCTTTGTTACGGTTGAGCCTCTCAAGCTCCTTGTTGATTCTACGAGGTGGTTAACCAATTGATCAGCATCTACAGAAGGATAATGCGTACTCAGCCAACGTGCGGCGGTCTTCCACATGGTGTCCGGTTGGGTGTCCTTCGTAGATGCTAAAAAAGCGGCAATGTCAGCTGGCATGGCCCAGAGAGGAAACTCGAGACCCGAGAATGGGTCCATGGGAAAGGGGGTAGCGGGGAGTCGTCTGGTTGCTGCGTACTTCAACTCATCGAGTTCCTTCTCTCTGCGGCGCTTGATGTACCGATCGATAATGACAGGGTCGTCGAGAATCACAACACGCTGCTCAATGGTGCCGTCTTCACCCTTGACGTCCCGGGTGATCTTGAGGCGCTTGTGGTGGGTGCGGCTGTTGGACGTCAATCCGGTAATTTGACTGGCGCCCTCGTCCACATGCGCAGGCGTTTGCGACACGTGCGTGTTGAAGCGATCGTCCTCATCGGCTGGAGGGGGGACAACAAGGCTATCGTCCTTCTCGGAACCATCGCCGAGACTGGCCTTCTGCTTCTCCCAAATTTCATGGATGCCCTTCTTGTACATGACCTCTTGCTCCTTGACATTGTAGGCATGTCCGTTGTAAGCTTTGCGCATGGCGTCCGGGTGTGCTGCCATGGCGTCAGCCGCCGTCGTGTGCGATCCACCTTTCTGGACCGTCTCAATGTAGCCTCCCTTCATCGACGTTCGGATGAAGCTGAAGCCAAGGCCATGGCCGGTAGGGTCACCCTCTCCGTGCAGCTTGAGCATCGCCTTGCCGGCACAAGCATCGATGAAGGCCTTGCTTGTCTTCCAAGGGGCCATCTTATCGGCCAACTTGTCTTCATTCTTGTCGGCAGCCTTCTTTCCACCCTTGGCAGTACGATCATCATCCTCGTCTTCAACGTCATCGTTATCTTCGTCGAGGTTGACGTTGTTGGGGTCGAATCCGGCGTCTTCCAGAATCTGCATGCCCAGCTGCATGCCATCAATAAGACACACGTCCTCAGGCTTGACCATCGCACGAATACCGGCCTCGTCCATGAGCGTCTCGCCAGGCTTCAGCTTCCACTGTCCCTTGTCCATCTTCGCATAGACGAGGAATTCCTTCAACTTTTGTCGGTTCTGAGCATCCGTCGATTCGGCAATGTGTTTTGTAATGTCCGCCAGATTGACCACACTGTGGGGACTGCGTCTCATCATGCGGTACGACATCATCTTGATCCTGTTCTTTGACGCGTTCGTGACCTTCCTGCTGTGGGGGCCAGGGACTTCCACGGATGGGAATGTTTGACCGACGACGTAGAGATGGTCAATGTTGTGAAGGTACCACTTTGAGCCTTCCACGCCAGTCGAGCTGCGAACACAGAGAAAATCGGTGGACCGCGGCTGGTGTTTGAAGATTGGCGCCCTGTACATTTGGTTGTGCAACGTGGGCATGGTCTGGCCAGCCTTGACCTCACCAAAGATGGCAAACGGTGACCTATCCTCTGGATGCAGTACGTGAGATTCGCCAACATCCATCTTTGGGGGCACTTCTTCTTCGTCCACTTGTCTTTTGCGGTAGTAGTTGATCACACGGTTGCCCATGCCAAAGTTGGAGAGGACGGGCGGGGTTCTCTCACAGTATTCAAACAGGACAGCCGTGCAGTTGTCGGTGATACCCAAGTCCTTGGTGGATTGGAAAACCTCGTGGGCCTTACCCTTCTTAGTTTTCCGCTTGTGGTATGTAAGCTTGTCGAACTTGATTGTCTGCCTCTCATGTTTGTTGAAACGGAAGTTAGGTCGGTGATAGCCATGGCCGCGAATGTCCAGTTTGACCTTGTAGTACGGCCAGGCTAGTCTCAGGGCAGGCATGCTGTGCTCGACACCGAGGTTGCCCAGCGTCGCTCTGACCTTGTGCTTGTGGTTCTCCTTAAGGGCCTCATACGCTTCGTCATTCGACAAGTTGAAGCGCTGGAAGATGTCAGGCTTCGATTGCCCACTCGCCATACGGACGAGCGTCTTCTCGGTGCGCTGGCGCTTGGGACCTCGCTGAGACTCAGTTTCTTCAAGCAGCAGATAAGGATCGTTCATGTCGAGGACGACTCGTTTCGCGCCACGCTTCGTCATCTCTTGGAACAAGTCAAACGATGGCGCCGTGAAACGTGAAATGTCGGGCAAGCCAGCCGGAAGGGGGATCCGGACTTTCTTGCGAGGCTGTACAGCGTTGTCATCCTTTAAGAACAGCGCATCCCAATCGTCGTCCGACTGGTCATCGTCGACTGCAGCCCTCTTGTTGCCTGTGACGTTCTCGGCTTCAGTCTGCGCAGCGACCTTGGTCTCAAACTCCTTTTCAGTGTGATCGATGTGCACCGCCCAGTCATCGCAAACCATGTCGATATCCTGGAGGGTGAAGCCGCCAACAGTCTCCGAATCTGACTCGAAATCGATTTCCACGTCCTCCTTGCCATCCTCGTCTTCTGGATCTGGCACTGAACAGTCCACCAGGTTTGATAGCTCAGCTGCGATCAGCCTCTGTTTTCGTGTAGCCGCGGCAGGCCCCGGCACCCTGAAGGCCTTCTCTTGGTCTGTCGCGAGTTCAAGCGTAAGCTTGCTGGTGATCAGAGTCGTGGGTTTCTTGGTCGGCTTCTTCTCTTTCCGGTAGGCCCTCTTGGGGGGGAGTAGCTCGTTCCACCGTAACGTGATACCGGTCTCGAACGCAGGCCATGTTTGTTTCACAAGCTCGCCAGAATCGCCGGGAGGAGGTGGGATGTCGGGGTCCTGGTTTGTCGCAAGCGAGGAAGGGTCGGTGTTGAAGTTGAGGTCACGATATGACTCGGGGTCCTCGGGGTCATGGATATGCGGTCGCGGTGATGTGGCGTCGGCAACAGGCTCGATGGGTGATGAAGGACCATCGCCAAAAAGATCATCAGTGTCGTTGCTCGTTCCTCCATCATCCGTCAAGCCGGGCACGGATAGCGACGTTCCGCCCGTCGCTTCCTCCTCCTCCGGAAGGTCATCGTCACTGATATCTTCGTAATCTTCGGCATTATCAGCCTTGTCGGTCTGGTCGAAGGGAGTGTCGTCGTTGAAGTTGATGCCGATGCCCTGCCCCTCCTCAGCCTTGGCAAGCAGGTTCTGGATGTTCTCGTCATCCGCTGCTCGCTGAGCTTTCCAGTCCACTTCGGATTCGGGCTCCTTCTTGGAGTCAGCAGCGTCGGGCACGATGATGTCCATCTCGTCGCCGTTGACAGGCGTAACGTCCTCGCTTGCAGACATCGCGTCGTGGCCTCAAGCTCCTCCGAGGTGGCCCGCGAATGTCGAAGTGCAAGAGACCATGCCTTTCCGGTTGATCAAGGCGTCTCTGCAGCACGCGAAAATGATGGCGCGTTGGGCGATGCGGCTGGACAGCGTTTCAACCGATGGGCGACGAAAGCAGGGTAGGTAGGTTGGAGAGTTCACGTTGAGGCTCCGAATTTCGTATGACTGGAGCGCGGTCGCTGCATGCGTGCCTCAGGCAGAAGGCTTTAGTGGCTTGCTGAGGGGTGGATACCCGCCAGGGCGATAATCTGGGGGTGGGGCAGGATTGTTCCTGCCGCGTCTCTCGACGCTTCTCTACCTTTGAGGCTGTTGAAGTGAAGATGGTCTGAGATGATTCAGAAATTGCCCCATATGTATGCTAAACCCGCCTTCCTGTTCAGGTATTTTTCTCGAGGCTAGAGTTGCACAAAGATACAGAACTCGTTCGTAATGCACGAGGTTGGCCTTGGTGAGGTGCAAGTAGGTGACTTCGTGACGAAGGAAAGGAATACTTGACCGCCCAAATTCTAGGGTATTTATCCACCAAGAGCACCCTCGTCGCGTGGTGTGAGAAGGACGAATGAGGCAGTTGCCCAATTCAGACATGTCAGAACATGCTTTACAATTCCCAAGGTGCAGCCGAAGCCTTGGCTCGATGGTACAAACCGTAGGATTCCCACTCAGCGAGTTTGAACACGTAATTCAAGAAAATGTACGAAGACCATTGATTAAAGCAGGTTCAGTCAAAAAACCAACCCCACAAGCACAGACTGCTGCAAGATACCACTGACGCGATTACACGAACAGTCACCTCAGCACTGCGACGCCGATTTTATGAATCACTTTACTCTAGTCCCCTGTATCCGTACATCGCAAAAAAGCAAAAACACATCCGTTCCTATTCGAGGCCGTTTTGTGTTCCGTGAGCACGATGCTCATCCCAACTCCATACGCCTGCTGCACCCGACTACGCCGTGAGCCCCTCTCGGGCCCGCTACCCAATCCTCTCTGTCAGGCGGAGCACCATTGACTCGCCGTGCGTAATCGTCTACTTGCAGCGCTTCTCCACGATGTTGACACCGTTCTCCTCGTACTCCTTCCTCGAGATCCACATCTGGTGGAAGGTGCCCAGGCTCGCCAGGATGCTGCCGCCGATCCAGGCGCCAAAGCGACGCTCCGTGGTCAGTCCAGCGGCGTGAATCTTGATCTTGGAGCCGGGGAACATGGCCATGAGCTCGTTGTTCAGGCGGTCGTTGAATCCGTTCAGAAGACTGGTGCTGCCGGTCACGACAATGTTGCCGAGCAGGTTGGGGCGGAGGTCAACATCCACGGCGTTGAGAGCACTGCGGATGAGTTCGGGAATGGTCTGCGACTTGTTGACTGTGGGCAGATCCTCTGTCGGGAAAGCCGCTGCTTCATCCCACATGCCCTCGGAGACGCGGTACCGCTGCTCGCGCCACATCTGGTTGCCGCCGTTGGGGAACTCGTAGATCCGTCCGGGTTGCGTGCGAACATACTCCTCATTCTGAGGCGACAGGAATTTTCCAGGGCCCCTCCAGGTCTCGACAACGGACTCCTTGAATTCGGTGATGACGCGTCCGTTCTCGTATTCGACGAAAGACTTGTCGATGCTGAAGGGGAAGGTGCGAGACTTGAATTGCGGAGGGGCACCGGCATCGACGGGTGTCTTAGACTCGACCATGTAGGTAGGCACGACCTCGATCTTGGGTTCACTCGTACCGAAAAGGTGGCGGACCTGGTCCGAGAGCCACAGTCCTGCAACGGGAGATCGCTGGATAGAGCGCTTGAGACACATGCCGTCGTGAATGGCGGTGACGGAAGTGTTGGCGCCGCCAACATCGATGACCAGAGCGCTCGCCTTGCCGGCTGCGAAGGCCGAGAGAACAGGGGTGCGGCTCATCCAGAAGGCGGGGCAACCCCAGTTCTCCATGATGACCTCGATGGCCTTCTCCCTTGCCTTGGGTGTGTTCCATGGTGCCTCGCTCATCAGAAGTGGGTTCTCCTGTAGCGACTTCTCCTGCTCCTCCACGTCCTCCATGGCCACGTCGGCAGCCTCGCCGTTCTCTCCCTCACCTTCCTTCGGATCATCGTTGAGGCCGTTCTTCGAGGGTGAAGTCTGCTTGAATGGCTGCAGTTGGTTGGTCAACATGTACTCCCACATCTTCGTGGCGGTGTCCCAGTCCTCCACCACGCTGTCCTTGTTCATGTAGTTGCGAACTTCGAAGTCGGGTCGCGCGATGAGGTATTCGTCACCGAAGAAATCCTTCTGGATCTCCTTGTTGGTCGTACGGCCGTGGAAAGAGGGCAAGATGGACTTGGGAACGTCTTCGCCCGCGAAACCGGCGCGCGTATGGCAGTAACCTGGGTCGAGCACCAGGGCGGAAACCTCGTCTAGGGTCAAGTTAGGAACATGCGCGGGGGGGCATTGAGAGGGACGGCGCGCTCACCTCCTCCATAGACGTCGGTCGGCTGCGCCGCCGACGACAAGGGTTGCTGAGACATCGTCGCAACTTGGGTGTTGAGGGATCTGATGCGATTGTTTGACGCGAATTGAATTGAGGTCGTGGCGCGTCGGGTGGGTGATGGAAAGCGCATAGAAATGGCATGCACGGCTCGCGAACGAGGGTTGGAGATGGAGCTAGGTATGGAGATAAACATTAATTACTAATGCGGGGCTTGTAGTTACTGGAGCGGCACGCACCTTGGCTGCTTCGGTACGGTACCTAAGGTTGGTACCTACCTGGTACCTTGGTATACAAGTTTCCAGTCTGTCAATGGATTATGCCCAGCACGTCAATAGTACCTGCAAGTTGTGTATAATACTTCGTGTTCTTACATCAAGTATCTTCTCAGCCAGCGACTTAACATGTTCAGCTTTACAAAATGACATCCTGCTTAATTGTCCAAACCTGTATCTTACTCCTCCTCCAGTGTAGTTTTCTCCTTGGTCTTGCCGAGTCTTTTGATCGGACCAATCACCATTTCTTTGATAGGCCAACCGTGTATGCTTGGCCCTGCTTTCGCTATCCACGAGATCGTACACCACTCAAGGCATCTTGTAGCCGTCTTCACCTTCTATTCCTCGATCAGAGAGTAGCGAAGGTCGAGGCTGATGGTCCATCAAACTTACACCTTGCTGCTAGCTTTCTTGATCAGCTACACTGGCCACTTAACGGACAGATGGGTGGCTTACTCCCAATGCCCAAGTTCCGTACTATATACACTCGTCATCGATATTGGCCCAGAGGTGGAGCAGACTGGCAGCGGCCTCGCTTTCGTTCTTGATCTGTTGATCTTTAGGAACGAGAGGTCGTTCAGCTGGCACCCTGCCTCCCCTGCTGATAGTCTAAAGGTCGGCCTGCTTTCGAGGACGACATCTCGTCCCACTCGTGTTGGCAGATCTCCAAGTACATGGCTACGCTGACCAGTATCTGTCGGAGGTAGGCGCCTGTGCCTATGCTCCCTGGTAGACCATCAAGGAGGCCGAGAAGCCAGTCGTCATCGGGCCCTATCATGTCATCAGGACAGGCTCAAGGGTATCACCAATGCCTCCAAGCCCGTGTAGCACAAAGAACCTTCTCCCCCCGTCGGCACGACCGCTAATGGAGGAAGCGCTCCTCTAATCTAGTCCTGTCAGAAGGTCTTTCGATGGGGCAGGGGGACACGGGTACGCCGCGAAGGCCGAAGCACGGTCTGTAGGGCCCTCGTACTGCGGGCAAGGCGAGATGGCGAGCAGTCGTGGAGGGCAGCATGCGACTGACTGCGGGAACAGTTGACACATCGTGATCACAGGTTGACGGGCACATGCCCGCATCTGCTTCAACACGTCCTGCGACGCAACATAGCCACCCGTCGCTGCCACAATCTCGGCTTTCTTCTTCACCTCGTCCATGCCAATTTGCTCAAGGCCACGCACGACATTGAAGCGGAAGTAGCGGCCATCATCGTCGAGGTCGACTTTATCGCGACGAAAGTTTTCGGCCGTGGTTTCCGTCTCCAGGGCGGGTGTCAGCAGCGCTGCCAAGATGCTCAACACGTTATCCCGCACCGGTTGGAGGGCGGGCACTCCCGTGCCGATGGACACTAGGCACCGCAGACTACCCTGCAGGCCGGCGCCCCATACGTCCCGAGCCTGGGACCAGAGGACGGCGACGGGGTTGTTCGCGCCCCCGACGGCGCCGTCAACGAATTGCTCGCCAAAGGGGCCAATGGCGATGGGGTCGAAGAAGGTGGCCGTTGCCGAGGTGGCGCGACAGGCTTCCCAGACGGTGGTGCATTCGAAGAGGTGAGTTGACCTCGGGGAGCGGAAGCTCGTCAGACAAACCGTGTCGCCAGTTTCCTTACTTGTCGCGCACACGAATCTGTAGGGTTAACAGGTGGGTTCGGCTGGGAAGGGGACAAGAATGGAGGCGTACACCCGACACGAACTGGAAGCATCTCTCAAGAGGATGTTCTCGTCGTGATTAGTGCGTACGAGGATCTGTTTGATGGCCCGCTCGAGGGCTCGGCTGTCAAATCTGCCTCGAAGCTTGCCGTTCATCCTGACTCTGTGGTGCTTCTTCTTTTCGAAGACGCCGTCGCACAGGGAGGTGAAGGCAGCTATGCATTCGTCGACGGACATGCGTAAGCGCCCCAACATGACGGCGATAAGGCCACCAGTGTTGGTGCCGCCGATCATGTCGAAATAGTCACAGGGCTTCGGTGGGTTGTCGGGGTCAATGGTGACCATGAGACTGCGCAGGATCATGAGGGAGGAGAGGCTGCGGACGCCGCCGCCGTCGAGGGCGAGCAGACGGATATCGTTGACAGGCATTTTACCGTGGAGAGGGCAGCGGAGAGTAGATAGAGCATATTGGCGCGTCTATCTGTGTCTCGACATGGCTATTAAGCCTGCTCTTATAGAGAGGGGAAGAGAGAGAGAGAGCGGCGGCCGTGATGCGCCTTCTTGGCCGCATAAACAGCCAACATGTTGCTGCCAAGCTCAACACAGCGAATCTCGCTTTCTTGCGCGACCTCAGCTGGGAGGTGGATGAAACAAGATGGGCGCGTCTATCGCTACGCGCCCTCGTCGGCCACTATTGCGACCGATGGATCCTGCCGCCCTCCCTTCTATTTATAGAAGATCATGCTGAGTCGCCAACCGGATGAACTGAAGTGCTCCTCTGCACGAATGTGATAGCCAGCCTGTTGATGCGTGGCTCGAGAGACGTATAACCCCGCGGAGCAGTAAGAAAGGGGCAACTTGCAGCCAGCCAGCTGGAGCCAGGACCTTCGTGTCTTCGATCGTGTTGTCGAGCCAAAGCTTGATGCTCGGGCAGTGGGCATAGCGCGACCTCTTCTCATGTATTCGAACCTCGATTTTTGACAGTATGTACGGGCAAGATGTAGATTGGAAGCATTTCGTATCTTACGGTAGGTAGGTACCTTGTGGTGCAATTGAAAGTACCTGGTTCCATCTGACTGCTCGTGGCTATTAAGCGCGCAGACATCGTTCGTTATCAGCAACTGGGGTGGGTGGGCTGTGTCCGACTTCCTAGGAAGTCGTGCATTGTAGGACCTGCCCGACTTCAGAGCCTCTCAGTGTCGGTCGTAGCTGAAAGCAGCGGGCTCTGGGGTTGCAGATCAGGCACCGACCTTTAAAGGTAGGTACCTAGATACCTCAAAGGTACCTAAAAAGCGAGCTAGGCAGTGCTTCCCTCTCTGTGCCTTAGTTTGTATGGGGCTCGTCGAGACCCCATTGCGGCGTACCCATCTGGCAACCTTCACTGACGGCGACCGAAGGAAACATTGGAAACCACAGCTCTCTCGCCCATCTCTGCAATCACTCATTGGCAGCTGCCATGCCATCCCGCCATGTCTCTCTACTCCGAAGATGAGGATCGCGTTCCTCCGGATACCTTCTCCGATTCCTCTTTCACGGCATCGAGCCTCAGCGGCTCCGATAGCGGCAGCTTCAGCGGCAGCGAAGACGACGAATCCCCTCCTCTCCCCGTGCTCACCAACTACTTCGCGCCGCCCTTCTACGGACGCCCACCGACGCCCTTGCCGCCGTCGCCGTCCCTGACGTCGCTCCTGCGCCCCTCGCGGCCGACGACGCCCGATCCCTCCGACGATGACATTGAGCCCGTACCCCGCGCCTCGCCCAAGGTGCCGACCTACGAATACTATGGCTTCGTCCTGTACCTCTTCTCGACGCTGAGCTTCCTCGTCTACCTGCTGTGGTCGTACCTGCCGTCGCCCTTCCTGCACGTCCTCGGCATCTACTACTACCCGAACCGCTGGTGGTCGCTCGCCATCCCGGCGTGGATCACGATGCTGCTGGTGTACATCTACGTGGCGCTGGCGGCGTACAATACCGAGGTCATGACGCTGCCGATGGCGTCTGTCGAGACGATTGTCGACGACACGGCGCAGGTGGCTGTCATTGACAGCAAGGGCAGGATACGGCACGGTGCAAAGAGGAGACAGAAAGACAAGAGGGATCGCAGGATCAACGGAGGGCCAGGACTGAACTGGAAGGAGATTTGGAACGAGGGTACCGACGCTGTCATGGACGTCCCGCTGGCAGGAGTTTGTGAGGTGCTCTACGGGGATATCGATGTGGGTGACGGGAACGGACTGCTATGACAGAGGCCTGCTGTGATCGAAGGCAGGATGGCGTACTAGTGCAGTAGAGATACCCAGGGTTAGCGACAGGATGCACAGGAACTCGCGCCAAGGGAGAAGCAAAGTCATAGGAATTGGCCTCTGCATACGAGAGAAGATTGACCATCATGCCCATGGAAGGCCACTCCGATGCCTGGCCATGATCATGGGTTCGGAAATATTGTCTTCTTCGGGCTGTCCCATTGATGGAGCGTGGTCACCTCGTGGTGATCCTCTCGTGGCATAGCACCTTCAACGATGAGATACAAGTTTGGCTCTGGGACCCACTTTCTCCTGCTCGACTTGCTTCAAACCCAACTTCGTCCTTTTACGCGGAAACCTCTTTCTACCACACTCCAAGCGTTTGAGGTTTTGAGGTCTTGACCTGGTCACCAGAACTCGTCGGCAACATTGCCAAGCTCTCGGATTAAAATGGCGCCCTCCCCTGAGCAGATCGCCAGCAACCTCCTCATACCCCTCAACCTCTCCGTCACCTCCATCCAACCCCTCCAAACCCTCTGGGCCGGCTACGGCACCATATGCTCGCTTCGCGCCCGTCCTGTCACCCCTGAAGCAGCTACGGTAGTCTCCTCACTACTTTCCACCCCTATTACTCCAAACACGGAAATCCCTCTCATCCTCAAACTCATCAGCCCGCCCAAGGCGAAGCTCAATGACGAGGGCCATCTGAGGAAGATTTTGAGCTACGAAGTCGAGCAGTATTTCTACGCCCACCTCGCCCCGAAACTATCAGATGACGTGGGCGTCGCCAAGTGCATCGCCTCGAGCGCAGCGGGTGCGGGCGCCCTGGATGGCATCGTCGCCATGGTGCTGACCGATCTGAGGCCCGAGTACCCTGTTGCCGGGGGCAAGCGGGACGTCCTGTCGAGCGAGCAGGTAGACGCTGCCTTGAGGTGGCTGGGAAGGTTTCACGCCGAGTCTAGGGCTTGGGTTGGTGGCGAGAGGGCAGAGTATGTTCTCCCGCCGCTGCAGGAGGCTCGGCGGCGAGAGGAGGGGAACAGGGGAACCAAGATCTGGCTGAATGGTGGCTACACTTACCTTGCCACGCGCCTGAACGAGTATGCTTCCTTGGAGGCAGATGATGATTCGGAATGGTCGGGCGCATTCTGCGATCACCATGAGGAACTCGGGGCCAGTATCGCTGAGGCCGTTGCCGAGGTGTTGAAGCCCACGGGACGGGGTTTCGAGAGCGTCATCCATGGCGACGTCAAGTCCGAGAACCTGTTTACTACGGAGGATGGTAGCAAGGTGGCCTTCTTTGACTTTCAATATGTCGGCCTTGGACTCGGGGTGTGTGACCTGGCCAAGCTGTTCACCTGTTCGGTACCCCTCAAACTCATCACTGGCTCAGATGAGTGGCAGATTCCCATGGAGGATGGGGAGAAAGAACTGTTGAGGCGCTATAGAGCAGCATTGCTTAACGGAAAAGGTGATGAATCCTACCCATGGGATGACTTTGTCAGGCATTGGGAATGTGCGCTGGTAGACTGGTGCCGATTCCAGGCGAGCTGGGGGTTCTGGGGCAACACCGAATGGCTGGAGGCGAGAGTGCGCTCAATCCTGGGCGACCAAGCCTGGAGAGCCTGGTTGCAATATGAGCTTCAAAAATAAGAAATCCCAATATATTTATGAGAGTTGGTTCTGTTCGAGGTATATATATGAGTTGGGAATGGTCGCAAAGGCAAGACCGCTCGCTGATGAATTGCGTCCCCCAGTACAATTCCTCTTTTGAAGCCTTCTGCTTGCTTTTCCGGGAGCCTCTAGACTGGGGATAATTGTGACATGTGAACAACTTCATCGAAAGGGGTTCTGTGCAAATATGCGGCCGACACTGTCAGTTTGCGCATGTCTTCCGCTGCTTGATCTTGCATGCTAGGCGAACATCACAAATGATCCAAGTCAAGTCTCCTGGAGTCTCGAAATGTGGTTGTCATGTATCAAGCGGCAAACCCAAGTAACTTTTACTGGAGCTCAAGGTGTCTTGCAAATGTAACATGAAGGCATGTATGTAGAGGAGTGAAGTTGGTAGCATGTACTGCGCGTCCGCTTCGACCGTCCGGAGTGGAAGAGCCTCCTTTGCAGGGAACATGTCAAGACATCAGGATTTAGCTACACTTAACTTCAATGGCACAACTAAAAGGGGATGGAACACGGGCTTACTAAAGCTCAAATGAGTTAGATTCCCGGGGCATGTCGGATATCACAAAGTAAACGTGTCGTATTAATACACGTTAAAGAGAAAGCAACGATAGGAAGCAGTCTACCGTCTGGCCTGAGACAGGATCTTTCAACTAATTCGCCACTGGAGGGACAACAACACGTGCTGCGATCATGGTTAATGAAGGTGCTTGTTCTATGGGCCCCATTTACTCGAACCGTCGACTCGTTGATTGAACTTACCGCTAGGTGAGTACTGGATCGTCAGAGTTGTGCACCAAGGTCGATACCGGGCTACTCGGAAACACCGCGAAATAGGCACCACAGCCGAACTTGGCACACTCAATGACCTCCGTCCATCAAGGCGGTACTCCTGGCACTGATTGCTTCGCTCAAGGCGTGCTGAAATTTCAAGCGACAGTAGGATACTTGGAACCGCGATACGAAAATTTAGTTGTGCAAGTCATCAATGCCATGCTACCTTACCCCTGTTGCCTACTTCCAGCGGAGGAGCTTCCGTCCTTCGTCCGTGAAGTCGAATGACAGGCAATAAAGCACACAGATAAGCTTAACTATTAGCGGCACCCAGTCCAAATAAACTCATCGACACATCAGACAGCATCCCGCTTGAGGCGGAAGCTTCTGTGGCCGCGAGGGCACTCTCCTTGGCCGTGCCGCGTGGTCGTCTGATCACCATGCAGCCCACACGCGTGAGACACGCATCAATTGGCCACCACGCCCTTCTGTCCCCGCCATCTCCAGCCCCGTCCTGTCATCAAGGTAGCGGGCTGTTTGGCAACGGCGATCATGAGACCATGTTCCCGTGCACACGACAAGGGAGCCAAAAAAGCTTCTTGCAGGACAGGGGACGACGACTGCGTCCCGACGAGAACCCATCACCCTGGGCAAGGTAACCGTGGCGGTTCGGCGAGACCCCGAGCCGAACCTGCTACGGCTGGGCATCCAAGCCAGGCCCGTGCGATGTGTTGTTGATCATGGAGTGATACCTCTGGGTGAGAGTAGAAAACCGTTGGCGTCCCTTCTTTGCTTGCTGCTTCTGAGTCTCCTCTTGTTGTTCTACAGGTCTGGTCATCACTCATTACTTCACTTCTCTTTACTTATTTTTTGCATCTCCCACGTTGACGTGGTTTGCCTCATTCGTTGCTATTACTCTTTGCCAACCACAGGCGTCAACTTTGGAGGACTTCCATTTCATTCATTATCAACAAAACCAAGTTCAAGACATAGATTCAAAATGAGGTCCTCGAGCGTCATCTCTGCTTTCATCGGACTCGCCGCGGCGAAGCCCGTGCCAGTCAGCCACCCGGTCGTCGAAGCCGTGGCACCGCACGTCGCGGCCAACGGCCCCTTCACCTTCACCTCGACGTACAACCTCATCGCGACACCGGACCGGGTCATCAACGCCGACAACGAGGTCGCCCCAGGCGAGGCGGGCGCGATGGGTTACTACAACTACGGCATCAACAGCGAGCTGGACATCATCTGCTACGTACGTTTGCTCAAACTCGACCCTTTTCTCCGTTGCCCCTGCTCCAATCCGTCTCTCCCGCCCGCAGCCAAGCTAACCCGCGTTCTTCCCCTCAACACAGAACATCACCCTCACAGGCGTGACGGGCCCCTACGACTCCCCCGCCGTAACAGCAACGCACATCCACGAGGCGGCCGAGGGCGCGAGCGGCCCCCCGCGCATCGCCTTCCCGAATCCGGAGCCCGCCGACTCGGGCCCCGAGGTCGTCAAGCGCTCCTCGGGCTGCATCCAGGGCCCCTTTACGACGGGCATCGAGAACGAGGGCGTCGACACGGGCACGGGCTTCACCCTCGCCCAGATCGAGGCCAACCCGGAAGCCTTCTTCACCGACTCCCACACCGTCGTCTCCGTGCCCGGCGTCGTGCGCGCCCAGCTGCAGGCGAACGCCCAGCCTGCCGCCGGAGCCGGCGCCGCCGCGAGCGGTTGCACGCGTCAAGTCGTTTCCGCCGGCCCGCCGTTCGTGTTTGTGTGTGTGGAGTAGACAGATGACGGAGATGAAGCGCCAGCCTTGGGGGCTTCGCATCGGTAGGACAGGAGGGGGGACGAAAGTTAGACGAGGCGACATGACGTTAGATGATCCTGCCGCGGCGATAGATGCCACTGCATGGGCCGAATGTCTTGTCTTGCTGATAGAAATATTGCGGTCCGGCTGTGCTGGCTGCTTTAATTGATAATGACCGTGTGTTGAGCCAGCAATATGTCCCGCGTTATACCTTGCGAGGCATTTGTCTCGTGATGGTTCCACATGTGAACATCGGTACCATGATGCATTCTGCTTGCTTTGAGATTGGTCTCGTACTTTTGCATTGCTGAACTGAAGGGGTGAACACAGGGTGTTAGGTTTGGAAGTCATTTCATGTTAGAGGACTTACCGAAGAAACCAAACCAAAGAGTCCATCAAAAGCTCTCCCAGCCAATTTGATGTGGACAACTACACCGAAAACCTTGAACATGACCAGATGACCGCTGCATCCACAGAAGGTTGTTGGAGAACTCAGAATAAGGTAAGAGGTTGAGGTATTCATCGATTAGAGCAGCAATGCTCGAACTACTATTCCGTCTAGTGGTATCATCTTGCGGAAATAACGAGAAGGACTGAAAAAGACAACGACAGATACCAAGCTCAAAAACAAATTTGCGAGGGCCCAATGTAAGGGGCGGTATCGAACAAGAACTCGTCTGCCCAGTACTAGGACATGCGTGCAATCAAAGGGAAAAGATTAATCGGGGTTGTCAAAGTCAAGTCAAAGTCAAGTCGAGATGATGCCTTCTCCCTAGGCAATCGGAAGCCCGCTTCAGCGTGATGCGTAGGGGGGAACGTTGGGCGCGGGGCTAGTGGTGCCCTCCATGTTGCCCGTCAGTTCAGCAACACGCGCCTTGATACGTGCGACTCGAGACTCGATCGCTGGACGAGTGTTAGTGATCGCTTCTGCTTACTTCTGGGGTCATACCAACTTACTCTCTTCACCGCTCGTGTCGTCATCGCCGTCGGTCGTCTTGCTGTAGCCACCACGGCTCTTCTCTTCGCTCTGTCGTTGAGCGGCACGTTCCGCAGCGTTCTTGCGGATCTGAGCCCATCGGTCAATCGCCGGGGGGACCTGCGGCTCCTCGGGCGCCCTCTGCACTGGAATCCTTCGGACCGGTGCCTCCTTGGCAGTGGGCGTCTCGGGCTCGGCGGGAGGTGACGTGGATTCCCGGCCGTGGCGGGCAATAGGGGGTGGCACTGCGTCCTCGGACTCATCATCGGGAACGAAGGCAGGTTGATCATCAAGAGGACCTTGGTCGAAACGGGAGAACTCTTGACGAGCCTCATTGGCATCGGCAGTGTCAACACGAGACAAGGTGTCCTCGTGTGGGCCCTTGGGGCTTTGGATCGGTGTTTGCTGCGGGTTCTCGAGCGGTGTGACGAAATCCTCGACAGGAGTCGGCGCCGGCATGGCGGGCTCGGGCTGAGCGGGTTGCGCCGCCGGTTGGGGCGGCTGAACAGGCTGAGGCGTGACTCTGCCAGTGTCAGGCACGGGCTGCTCTTGCTGTCGGAGAAGCTCGTTGAGATCCGTCGACGCATTCTCGGGCAGCTTGGAGCTACGGCCCTTACGACCGAAGAACTTTCGGAGACCGCTGCTGGCAGTTTTGTCCTTCTGCAATTTCTTGTGCTTCTTGCCGTCTTCAGGTTCAGGCGAGACCATGGTCTCTCGGGGCCAGTCTTCTACCGATTCCTTGGGGGGCGGCATTGGGGAGCTGCGGCCCGCCTCTTCACGGTCGGTGGGGTGAAGGTCTTGGGGTGCTTCAAGCTCCTTCTCCGAGAGCTGAGGCTCTTCATCATCTGATCTCCGGTGGCTAGAATGCATAGCAGGTGATGGCTGGGGGAGGGGGGACGGCTGCGGCAATAGAGATGGTGACTTTTCAGGTACCTGGGGACGCTGGTCGTGGTCGCTAGCAAAGCCGTTGTGACTCAGGGGGCTGCTGAAACCGTTGAATGTCGCCGACGATGTGACATTGCCTCGGCCAGCGCCGTTGTTGTTGAGGTACGCTTCGCGAATAGTGTCCTTGTCGTACTTGCTCGCCCACTTCATTGCTGGCGAAGCCTCCTTCATGATGACCGGCTGCAGCGTCATGATGCTGTTTGTCTTGTCCTTGAGTTGCTCGGGACCATTGCGGCCCCTACGCTCGAGAAGACGCTGCTGTTGCTCCTGGTTCTGCCGAGCTTGCAATTGTGCGGCGGCGGCGGCGATGCGGGCCTGCTGATCAGGACCAAGACTGGCCTTACTCACCCCCACGGTGTCTCCATTTCCCTCGAGTACGTGCTTGCCAGCAGTAGACTTGGCGCGCTTGATGCCCTTGTTGCGCCTGGTCCAGCTGAAGAAGCTCTTCTTCTCGGCGAGGTAGGCGCCTTCCTGAGGCTCAG